TACATACATGTCTTTCAGCAAGTGGTTAAATTAGTGGCGCTCGTCCATTATACGTGATGAATACTTTAACAGACTCGTTTCTCCGACGTAATTTTCCTAAATATCAGTGTGTGTGTGTGTGTGCGTGTATGTGCGCATGCGTTCGTGGTCGAAGTTCGCTTCCAAGATTCCGATAACAAGCTGATACGACCGAGTGTTCCGCACATAAACTTACCTGGTCCTAGCGACGACGGTAAGTAACCACCGAGTAAGCTCGTCCTATTTTAAGAGAGCCATGAAAATGGTTCGCGGATTTAACCGAACGGATGCCTTCTCTGCACTTTCGTCACGATCGTACGACAATACGTATGGTGTCCTCCACGGGATTACGAGACGGATACGAATGTAATCCAAAGGCAAGTGGTCACGTGGGATTGTACACGGCGCATTCAATAAAATGGAAAATGTTTCGCTTTCACGGTTGCCCGAAATACTTTCCGAAACACGAAGTTAAGTCGTTTGGTTTATTTCGATCGCTCTTACGATTGCTCCCGTTTTTCAACAAGTACCGGGAAGAAATGTGATTTTCCTAACGAGATTGTAAAGGTTGCATTTCGCGATATTATCTCTTGAAATGAATCGCTCATGTAACGAAAAAAGTCATCGATCTTTTGAGGGAATCCGTTAATGATATCTATAAGAAGATTCGAGAGGGATTTATGTCTACTGCAACGAGAGATGCGATAGAAACGTCATGAGCTATATCATACAATATATTGCAGATGTCAGAAACAGTACTTTAAAGTCTCTCTTCAGACTCTAAAGGGTTGAACTGCACCGTAGTGATTGCGAGAAAACGAGCGTGTGCCCGAGAGGCACGCAAGCTTTAAGCGAGTGAGACTAGGAGCGTGACAATATGCAGACAATGGTAATAACATTGGATAGTGACTATTGTATCTCGACCGCTAGAATTTTCCTTCACTCGACAAATGCACGTGATCTTTCGAGCAATTACGATGATCCCCGATAAATGACAGGCATACGAGTTCGCGATGAGATGGAAAAATTTTCTCCGTTAATTACAAATTAGCTGAAAACTGGAGCTCGCGTGTCTTTGTGAGCAAATTATGTATAAAACTGGATCAATATCGCGACGAGCATTGGCGATGCAATTTGGCACGGATGATATACAAGCAGACAATAGGACCTGATAGCTAACGAGACAAATGATATCGGATGACAGGGATAAAGTCCTTATTTCTGATCGGGCATATTACAAACATTACCTTGACCAATATAATGGCGTGTTTTTTTTTCGCGCACACATTTTGCTTCTCATATCGTTCTAACAAAATTAGTCGTAGCCATGATAATATAGCAAGAGCGGCGAATAATAGTCGGCAAGTATCGATCCCGTGCAAAATGTGATTAACCGCTTGATGGCTACCATTATGGGTCTTCGAATTTGCATGAAACTCCAATCAATAATTCAGAAGTTCGATTAAAGCGTAATCAGAAGACAATTTTTCATCGCAATGACATCGCGTTTTAGTCATTCTCGCAAAATGCCGCTCATATAACACGCGTATAAGATAATAATGCGATCGTAACAAGCGTTTTACGCGATCGACGCGATTATACAATTATTATACCTTTCGTCGCGCAAAACGCAGCCGACACTGCTTTCGTTAATCTGTTGCCCCTCGCGCACAGTCGGGCCGCTCAAAATGACGAGATATATCGCACGCCCACGAGCGGTTACGTAATACGGGAGCCAACATTGTCGAATCCTCATTGTTAGCACAGCAGAGTGTAAATGCGGCAATAATCCCGAGGTGATATATAATTATGTCTTACGTGGCACGTTATTACAGATAGGCTGTGTGTGACTCTTGTGGCCCGCGCACACCGACGTATCCCTCTCGCCTCCTAAACCTGCTCCTCCACCCTCCTCTTACGCCATTCTCTCTGGAGGCCGTTATCTTCTCCTCCCGGTGCATCTGCCCTGACTACCAGGTAATACGAGCCTCATATGTAAATCCCATTCTGATTAACATTCACGTGTACCAACACGCAGAGAACCCTACATCACACAGGGTCGACCTACCTCACCTCCTCCTACCACTCGCCACTTACTCATAACTGCCTCCGAGATGCGAACAAGTCCCGCGCAAGCACAAGCGAACTTGTTTGCGGCGAAATTTAGCCGGCCAGCGTAATACGTGACGCAAAATTACATTAGGGTATTATATTAAAGTGATGTGACGTCGTCTTGACATATTAGAATATATTATTCTTATGTTACGGCGCTGTTATTGATAAGCAGATAGACATTCCTTCTCTTTGACAATAATATAATGGGCGCTAAGATTTATGCATCAACATAACTCTGCGAAGACAGAATCAAAATTAGAATTTTGTCAATTTTATTTTTCGTCGTACAACATTGAAATAATTTCTTTATCGTTCGTTATCATCCTCAAATTCCGATGATTTATCTTGCTTCAATGCAAAACTGTTTCGACGATCGCAAATACTCATTGACGTGATAAGTTCACGCATTTTTGGTTCGGATAAAAAAAAAGTGATCATCCGTATTTCATTAAATCGGGAATATCGCGCACATTCTTTCAAATAAATTTAGCCTTTATCGAATGAGAAACGCCTCTTATTTCGGGTATCTCGAGATGCCGGCCGATTCTATCTCACGGTCGGCGATTCATAGAGGAACGAGAACGCGCGCCCGCCGCGTGCAGTAAACTTTCGCCGCTTAGTGTCGTTTAAGACGCCGCAAATCTTCACCGGGCTACCCATTTAAGACTCCACTCTGTTGTCGAATTATGGTTTGCGAATGGAGTTACTCTGTAGATAAGTTAGAGCCAAGTATTCGCGAGTATTCGCGAGTATTTGACGATTAAACGTTATCTCAAGATGCGTTGTTTCTATCCACGCGTCAACGTTTTAATTATCATTAATGCTTTAGTTAATTCGTTTTTAAATATCCGACAGATATAGAAGATTTAATTTAATTATTTTGATGTTGCGTAAGCCTTTTTTTATATTTAAAAACAATCGGAAAAGATGATACTGTCATGTTAATATTTAACATAAAATGTTTCGAAATAGATTGACATATTACGAATAGATCTATTAATAAACGAGAATAAAATCAGAAATAAAATGTCATATATATTATACATGATTCATTATTGTATAATTTGCATAACATAATATATTTATATTTTTATGATAGAATGAATAAAATATAATATTACCGCTTCCGTTAAAATTGCGAAACAAACACGCAATAATTACAGCGAATTTCCTTCCGACGATCTTCTCTCTTAGCTCTCTTAGCGTTTCGCTTGGGCGGACCCCTTTAATTTCCGAATAATATATTTTGAGATTAAAACGCTATTCTGGGCGTTATAGTGTTAGATAAGCTACGAAGGAAGCGTGAGAGCGCGATATGAACGCTTTTCGTCCTTTGCAAGCCGTAATTGCATAATATCCTGGCTTAACCTGACGTACTTAAGCTAAACCTCTGTTCTAAGTCTGTCAAACAGATCGTTATCCAAATATTTTCACGTCATATATGATTGTTCAGATATTCTAAGTTTTCTGCATTTTTCTTTTATCGTGTACAAAGAATATCTTATATTAAATCATTCGACTTGTATTTTTTAGAATGTAATCTTTTTTAGAATGTATCAAAGATTAATATTAAAACTCTCATGTAAGTTACGAATAAATCACGCGCGTTACCGTAAATTATTTATATATTTATATAATATACGTGTATAACATGTAGCGTTTGCCAGCGTTTAATATCGTGTTCGTATCACCTCGCAGAACGCAATACTCTCGCCACACAGGCTGCAGAGGTTTTCCAAAACTGCGCCGCTGGATCGCGAAATATGTGATCCACCGTAGGGAATTCGTAGCGCCTTGAGAATGTGAACATCGTAGGAATTCGGCGAATGTTTTTCACGTAATGGTGAAACTCGCATTATTTGACGTTCCCCAAAAAATTCTAAGTAAGAATGGAATTCTGGCAATATACTTTCTCAAGAAAGACGAAACTATAACGAAAAACTAACACGCGGAGAATGTATAAAATACTACAGTGATATCTCGAGATACATCAAATGTATCTCAGGATCGTCGTCACGACTCTCGTTTAAGAATTCCTTAGCCAATTTGAACCTCCTTTTTAAGAGAGAAGTTTTAGTCGACATTATATTATTATTTGTGCCAAGCAGTTACGTATTTGATGCGTATATTCCTGAGACATTCATAGAGAATAAAATATAGAATAATATAAAAAAATATAACAAATAATCTCTCGAATAATAAAAACGTTTGAAATTTTTCTTTCGATCTACATCAGGTTATAATGCAATTATTTACTATTTCGAGCGTACGATATAATCGCGTGCATCAGAAAATATACAACATCATATCGCGAAGAGGATAAATTTTTACCCGTGCTCCGCATGATGAATGAACTTTAATTCATCAGACTTTGCGGGCTCACGGTGAACGATGTTTGCCACATCGTGAAATCCATTCGTGCAGATTCACGTCTCTGCAGCGTGCCGAGGAATACATTCGCGGCATTGAAGTCCACGGGCTATGCCCGTTGTAACTGGCAGTTAAATTAAACTTTGTTTATCAGCGCATATAACGATTTTCCATTTTTTTTTTTTTTTGCCTCGACAAACTTTGCGCTGGATTTTAAACTGTGCGAGTTACAAACCGTCCATTTTCACTTCATCCTAACTTTCGACGGTGCACTATTGATTTTTATCGAAGTTTTTCCTTTTAATTGGATATGCAAATTATTCGTGATGCGCGAATCGTCTTTGAATTCGTACATAAATATTTCGTATTGATATCATTCGCGCAACGTTTTTACGGCAAGAAATACTCTCGACGTCATTTGCACCTCTCCTTTTAAGCAAAGCGTAGCGGAATCGGCACGATGCAAGATTAAAGGTGTCGTGTGCTTGGCAGCTTACCTTGTACGTAGAAAGGTTCGCCACGACGCAGGCGACAAACTTTGCGCTGGATTTTAAACTGTGCGAGTTACAAACCGTCCATTTTCACTTCATCCTAACTTTCGACGGTGCACTATTGATTTTTATCGAAGTTTTTCCTTTTAATTGGATATGCAAATTATTCGTGATGCGCGAATCGTCTTTGAATTCGTACATAAATATTTCGTATTGATATCATTTTAGATATCATTTTAGTTTTTACGGCAAGAAATACTCTCGACGTCATTTGCACCTCTCCTTTTAAGCAAAGCGTAGCGGAATCGGCACGATGCAAGATTAAAGGTGTCGTGTGCTTGGCAGCTTACCTTGTACGTAGAAAGGTTCGCCACGACGCAGGAGAGGATAGCTTCTCGTCCCACTGGGATCGTCACGTTTGTTATTGGCGCGCTGAAACTCGGTCCCTCTGAAACAGGGTGATGTTAAATGCTAAGTGACCCATTTAACAACATTTCGTTATATCACCCGATCACGCTTCAATGCTATTAAATTGTACGTGTAACGTAAAAAAGGCACAAGATTATCGTGATCGGTAATGTTAAATTTACTGCTTTGTAATGCGACTACCTGTGACTAGCGCGATATCAAAGAACATAATAAATTTTGTACAATTAAACTTAAATTAACACTTTATTAAATTAACTCTCGAATGAAATAGAACATCCATGCTTCTGGCACGACAAAAACGCGACCTCGGATCCTGTAATTCGGCGAAAAAGATTAGTAACGTTAAATTTACCGCTCGGTGACGCGACTAGCGCGATATCAAAGAATGTAATGAATTCCATATGTAATTAAACATAAATTAATGCTTTATCAAATTAATTGTCAAATGGGACGGAATACGCATGCATCTCTAATATGACAGAAATGCGACATGGAACTCTGCACGGCGAAAGAACTCGACAAAAATCGAAACGGGACATCCCCAAAAATCTCAATACAGTGAATGACGCGGAAATACCGCGCGCGCCCCACTAAGTGAGTCATTTCCGACATTTCGCTGTATCGGCACGTTGTCGAGAATTTACTGACGCGAAACAGTCTCGTTTTGCGCGACACACTATACGCGGCAGACTGAAATGCCGGTACGTGTGCCCCGAAATATGTCTCCGTATCCATCCCGAGATGTTCATGTTTCCTGACAGCGCGCCACTTCTCGCGGGGAAGTTCTGAATATCATTACGCTCTGGCGTTTTCGTTGCCGGGAATATACTCGTCCTGTGACGCGTCGCATCTCTCCGTTGCATCTCTCCATAACGATCTCTCCCTATCGCGGAAACAGGGATTATTTAAACAAAGCTATTTACACGATGCGTCGCGTGGGTAAGACAAGTCTCATATATAACTTTATATATCTATATAAAAATATTGCTGTCACTCTTTCAACGCGGAGATTGTCATACAAAAATAACTCTCGGTTTAGCCATGCTTGAATTCGTATTAAACCGTGAAGATCTATCAGAACGAATCATAATGAATCGGATTAATCCGCGATGCTTTAATTCCCAGCACAAATATTATCACTATGTACGCGTATAGCATGGAGGTGTCGCGGAAGAAGATTGGAGATATGCGAGGAGAACGAGCTCGAGGAACACGGTGTGCGCCAATAGATAAGCACCGATCCAAATTACACGTCGGAATAGAGCTGTTCCCAAGCTGAGCGGATCATGGATTATTGACTTCATCGCGATTACCGCGGTCGTTGACACAATTGGTAGATAGATACACTTTGACCTTCTATGTTTGGCACGGAGCCGCGAAATCGAACGATTTAAGTCTATTTTAACGACTCGCAGATTATTTTATAACGCGCTAGAGAGAACTTCAAAATTACTTTTCAATTAACATCGTGAATGACACACACATCGTTAATAATATTATAAAGTATTTATAGAAAAAATAATTTGACAAAACTATTTATTCGAGGTACACTTTGCAAATATATGACAATTCATCCACTCTTTTCGCATACTTTTTTCGTACTTCCCGACTTAACATGTAAAAATGAATATAAACAAATATAATATATCTATATTAAAAATAAGAGAGCACAAAAATGATAAAATAAAGAAGTCAAGCTTGCGATAGTTGCATCGATCAAGAGACAGAAACTACGGCAACTTTTCTTTCGTTCAACATGCAATCTCTGCGGATCGAAGCAACTCGATGCACCTGCGATTCATCGTTGTGGACTCAGGGAAATTGAATTCAGCAAGGAAAGCTAACCCGAGTCAGTCGAGCGTTCGTAGACACATGTACCATCAAGAGCAGACAGTGAGAATGAAATTGTTCGGCGGACCCCATATCGTTCCTCCTGAATCACTCGGAACTGTAATTACACATCGGTAAATATTCTGTTAATAGCAGCCAAGCGAGCGAGAATACGGTAATCGGAATACGTATATACGTTTCTGCTATACGTTAGACTTTGCTCGACATTAAGCCGCGCGTGTCTCCGATTGCTCTTCTCACAAAACCTACGTTTGCAATAATAAAATGTTTCATTGTAGCCTGTTAATCATATTATAAGACTCCTCTATATTTGACAAAAATATACATAAAGCGAAGAACACCATCCATAAAATTAATCAAACGGCTTGATCCGATTCTATTCAGCGCAAAGTTGCGATTTAACACGAGGTCGTAACCGCTCTGTCACTTCTGGAAAAAACCGAATGGCGGAAATAGATTCGAAACAGGATTGAGTGATCACGCGGCCTTCGCCGATGATTAATCGGGACGCTCGCGGGAAAATAGAATTATTGTGTCACGACAACAATAAATGATGCACGCACAATCATCGCACTTCGGCCTCTTGTCGTTCGCACCGCGACACTCGTTCGACCGCGCATTGTTTTATTTCCGAACGAGAGGGTGAACGAGGTCCGGCGGTTTGCTCGATCCTACCTCTCGTCGTGACCGCTCGGTTAATGCTTTTCTCCGGCAGATACGGGCCAAAAACGACGCGCCAATTTGTTGAATCGCGCGAGAGAAAAAACGTATCTTTTTGCCCCCGACTTACTCCGAACGCGCATTATTCCGCGGTCCGTTTCACGAAACGTGTGATTCATTCAAAATCGCTTTAATCCCATCGCCCGCTGCTTTTCACTTAATTGCTTCCTCTACGTTATTCGCAAAAGTTATTACGTTAACTCCCCATGTTAAACAAGGAAAGCTTGACGAAGCGAAATAATCACAGGGATGTAGAAAGAATGAGTTTTCGGACGAGTTGAAACTATTCTGTATCTATAATGTACAGGTGGCAAACTAGTGTTTACAGTGTTCTCTGTCAATGTCAGCTTTAATCGACTCAACCGCGATGTGCGCGCTCACGGATTCGTGACATTTGTCGTGTCGGTAGAGTTAAAAAAAAATCATGTCGTACGAACATCATGATGTGTACGCGATTTAATATACCAAAGAGATAAAATTGCAGCTAAAGAGACGAGCGTTTAAACATTTGTCGGGAGAACGATCGAGAAATTTATTTTCCGTGCGAGACCGGTCCCGTTTCGATAACGATAAAGCCACACGCGCTTGGCTTACGAGATAAAGCGAATGTGAATTTGACGCATCCATATTTGTCCGAGTTTTCGTAGAATCGCTACAAACCGTTGAAATAGCCAGCTTGAAAAATATTTCCTTTTAGAACGGTCAGCATTTGCCGACGCACAGGAACGGAACGATCATTTTTATTTGTGAATAAAAAAAAAAAAAGTAAATAAAAGAAATATAGAATGCGATCCCCGAATAGACCAATGGAGTTTCACTGCCATTTCCAGCACTCTCCTCGGTTTCTCTACCCACATTCGCGTATTATTACTTTTAATTGTTGAATTTGATTAATTGAAATAACATTGTTCGTGGCGCGAGAAAATGCTTAAACTGCGTTGTAAATTAAAATGCAAAACTCACGAGGGAGGAAGAACGCAAAAATACCCTTCTAAATACCTCCCGATTATTACACATTTTAGTGTTTGTTCATGATAACGTAATCATGCACAATAAACATGGGATTGCGCAAATCAACATTCACATAAAAATTGCTAAAATATTTGTATTACTACTCATTATTTAGTTTTATTACACTGTGCAATAAATTAGCATTGGACTTTACGTCATCTAATAATTAAACACATCGTGATACTTTATGACAAAAAGATTTAAATATAAAAGAATGGTCAACGTATGCTTTAATCGATTAATTAAGAGCATTAAATCGCAGCAATAGAGTATTGTTTTATTTTAAATATATCAAATAACAAAAGCGCCTGATTTCTTACCTGAAATTTTGAATAATCTCTATAGAAGCGCGATAATTTGATAGCCTAATGGTAAAAGCAAACTGCGTAAGGAAGATTAACTGCGCTAGCCAGAGGATCACTCCAAACGCTTACGCCGTTATAAACAAACAAAGGAAGACTATGAAAACAAGTGCAATGTGTATGTATGCATCATCCCTCATCCATGCATACCTAAGGATATAAACAAATTTTAATGAACCAACGCGGTAGCGTTTCTCTCGCCTCAAGTATATATAATAATGTAACAACCGAGGAAAATATTACAGCAGCGTATTCTTTGCAGGATAAATAAGTTATCTTGAAAATAATTTGGAAATATGATTGATTATATTTTCTTTTTTGATAAAAGCATTTTCTGAACAGAGAGATAAAATTACTTATCTCATTGTAAAAATATATCTGTAAACACTTTTAGCCCAGAATAATCATCATGTGATTACGATATTAAACTCGTAATTATTTTATAAGATTTGCAATTGGTGTAAATTTATAATAACAGATTGAATTACTTTTAATATACGTCAACATGTTTTTAAGTGTGATTTGATATGTCAGTGCAACTTATAGTATACGATAACGTTAATGTTATTTAATTTTCTTTTCGCTGTTTCCTTTCGAGCAATATATTAATTCGATAAATGTATATCTTTAATATTAAAATATAGAATAAATTTATCGTAAAAATTATATTAATATAAATAAAAATTAATAATAAAAATAAAATGTATTACGATAGTGTCTTGCAATATCGTAGCGGATAAGTTTGATGAAAGTCTTGTCATTATGGCGATAGCTTTGATCGTATGTTGCTAATCAAGAGATTCATTTTGAAGGATCATATTAATTATCGTAATAAAGGACCGGGATCAAGAAATAGAGATAACAGGCGTAACTCTAGAGGTAATGAAATGTACACACTACATATTATCAACCAAGCATACAAACTGACAACAATTTGCGATTAAAATATAAATTGCATATAACTTGAAGCTACAATTATTCCCGCTAATTTTGCAATTATTGCACATAATTTCGAATAAATATTTAAGGCAGAAGTTAAATGTTATTCTTTGATGGAATAACGGAAGCTTTTATCTGCCATTTTTAGACACTTTTAATTATGTCAGCTCGCCTGCGTATCTCAATGGCTATTATAACCGTAATAAAAATATGACGCACGCTCACTCCGAAATTGTTGCGTACAAAAAAGTTTGTTTTAATTAATTTGCCTTGGATGCCGCATAAAAATATTGCGCACAACGCCTTTTGTAGCTGTTCTCTGGGACACAACTGATGTGAAATATGGGGCCGGCATGTACCCAACTTACGTTTCATAAAAATATCACCCGTCGTGCTTTGTATCTGATCTCCACTTTTAAGAGTATCATAAAATTCAACTTCAGTGAGGCAATTATTCAAAGAACTTTTTTTACTATGAGCACTTAATATTTTCTAATAAATGGAGTCGCACTTTTTGTTATATATATACTATTAAGATTGTAATATGGAGATAAAGAAAAAGAGAGAGAGAGAGAGAGAGAGA